AAGATCCAGGGGTGATTTGAGGCTTACATTTAAAAAAAATTTTTTTTATTGATTTAAGTGGAAGAGAGAGAGAGAGAGAAACAGCCACGATGAGAGAGAATCACTGATCGGCTGCCTCCTGCACGCCCCCGACTGGGGATCGAGCCCCCAACCCGGGCATGTGCCCTTGACGGGAATCGAACCGTGACCTCCTGGTTCATAGGTCAAGGCTCAACCACTGAGCCACGCCGGCAACGCTCAGGACCTGCTTTTAAGCACACGACACATAGCTCATCGCTCCAACAGTCTTCCTTGAAGATGTTTTATCGGAGATAAAAGAGTCCGCGTGGGGTACACACGTGCCTACGCGTTCATCCCCTGGGGTTTGCTCTACGTTTAAACCTGAGCACAGAGCTCCCTCTGACTTCTCAACTCTCCAAACCTGACAAGCGACAACAGGCCAGTGTGCGCTGCGGCCAGTTTTGTTGCATTTCACCAGATAAAAGCTTTCCCTGACTAAGGAATTCGTTCATCGCTTATTTATTTTATTTTTCTGTCCCCCACACTTTCCCCGACCCAGGAGTGCTCATTTGGTTCACGCACAGCCAAGTCACCCCCGATTGGTTACAAACCCGCTCCAGGCCACCGTGTGGGGAAAGGGTAGCTGATCCAGCAAAATCCAAGCACAAGACCCGGACGCCTTCACCGCGGTAATGAGCCATCTGCAATGCAGCATCCTCCCCGGGAACCGTCTCTCGTCCCATTTGTTTATGTTTTATTCATCACTCTCAGAATCCTCAGTGAAGTGACAGCGATGACATTCAGGAAGTCCTGTTTAAAGAGACACTACCGGCTCTCCAGAGCTCAACTGTTCAGGGGAAACGCCGCTGCCCTGAATTGGTTCAAATTTGCTCATAGCTCCTTTATTCTTAGACTAGAGGCCCGGTGCATGAAATTTGTGCACGGGTGGGGTCCCTAGGCCTGGCCGGCGATCAGGGCTGATCGGGGCCTTCTGGCTGCTGGCCGGGGACTCCCTTCATTCTATGCCGCCCCCTGGTGGTCAGCACATGTCATAGTGAGCAATTGAACTCCCAGTCTCCTGGTCGAACTCCCGAAGAGACTTTGCATATTAGCCTTATATATATACTAGAGGCCCGGTGCACAAAATTCATGCACAGGGGGGAAGGGGGGCAGGGGGGGTGTCCTTCAGCCTGGCCTGCACTCTCTCCAATCTGGGACACCCCTCTCACAATTCAGGACCACCAACTCCTAACTGCTCGCCTGACTGCCAGCCTGATCGCCCCCTAACTGCCCTCCCCTGTTGGCCTGACCACTCCCTAACTGCTCTCTCCTGTTGGCCTGATCACCCCTAACTGTCTCTGCCTCAGCCCCTGCTAACATGGTTTTGTCCGGAAGGACGTCCGGAAGATGTCTGGTCAAATTAGCATATTACCCTTTTATTAGTATAGATAGATACATAGTGCATTCCCCATGCTGTGCCCAAAACTGTGTGGGGATCATAGGAGAGATTTCATTGTTTTCATTGTTCATCCAATTTTTAAAAGTCCATAGCAGGAACTCAGCTGAGATACACAATGCACGTCCCCATGGTAATGTGAACCACACTGCTCCATCTTGGGGGAGCGCGCTATGGTTCCTCAGGACCACAGTTACACACCAAGACTCCAATGGACAGGCTCTCGTGATGTATTTGACAAAAACAAGGCTTGGGGGAAAGTGAAAAAGAAAAAGCAGCTCTGAGTTGAGCCAACCTAGGGGTGTCCATCACTAAAAAGACACGGTAACGCCGGCTGGCGTGGCTCAGTGGTTGAGCGTCAACCTATGAACCAGGAGGTCGCGGTTCAATTCCCGGTCAGGGCGCATGCCCAGATTGCAGGCTCAATTCCCAGGAGAGGGGGTGCAGGAGACAGCCAATCCATGAGTCTCTCTCATCATGGATATTTCTCTCTCTCTCTCCCTGTCCCTTCCTCTCTGACATCAATAAAAATATAGACATTTTTAAAAGGCACAGTAACAGTTACCACCCTAACTCCGTGAAGAGACCTCCGTCTACACAGGTTAGGAAGCCTTTAAAACAAAACGTACTCATAGTAAAATGACACACCTAGGTTCTGCTAGCCTATTTCAAATCTAGCTACGCGATACCCCCAGTCTTCTCTTCTTTCGAGATAAGCATACTCTGTAAATATAGTCACTATTAGTATGTGTGTCTTTCATTTTCCTAGGAAACAACATGTATGTAGGGACCATGATAGGCCATGTGTGACCTCTGCCCTCCAGAAACCTGGAGTTCCTAGGGAAAATGCATGGACACACCCATAAACACACATACTCTCTCACACACACACACACACACACACACACACACACACCCCTTGTATGCCACCTCATTGAATCTGTACCACGGATCAGCCTACGAGATGGAAATAACTCTTTTCCTTTTACTGGTAAAGAAACAGGCCCCGGCATCGCATAGATTTTAAATCTGAGTTTGCTTCTTAGGATTCCATTCTGCGTGTTAGAAACGGAATGGTCATAAATGCTTCACTTTTTTTGTTTCTTTTAAGAAGCAAGATTTTTTTTACTTTATCCATTTGGACTGAACTGGAGTCTGCTGAGACTATCCAGCGGGGAGCCGACCTCAAGGTGACCTTGACGAGTCCTCACGAGGGGCCTGGGAAAAGGAACACGAAACGCTAACTCCTCCGCTGGGGGCCGCTCTGGCCTCGCCTGCATCGCTCCTAGAGGGGGAGGGAGACGCTCTCAGAAAAGCTCACGGGCAGAAGAGCCACTCCCCGGCCTTTTCTCGGGTTTCTCGGAACCGGCCCGCATTCATCTGCGATCGTCAAGCCAGAAAACAGAGCCAGGGACCCAAAGGAAGACGACCGTCCAACAGGGCAAGTTCCCAAGCTCCGCGCCCAGGGAGCGCTTGCTCTCCACCACCACGAGCGTCAGCAAGTCCGGGGAGAGATGGGGGGTCGGACAGAGAAAGGAAGGATCGCCTGCGATCGCAGAACAAAAGCTGCCAAGTAACTCTCCCCCGCTTGCCAAGGCTCCTGGCAAACACTCCTCCCGCGTGTGCGTGTGATCCAGGGCGCACTTCAGGGACCCCCACACGGAGCCCGGCCCGAGCCGCCTGGCCACACCGCACCATCGATCTCATAAATATCTCGGCGGCAACAGCGGAGACAGCTTAGGCTTACCGTGGGCGGCCTTCCCGCGGTCCAGCTCCCTTTGCAGCCGGCTGTAATCGGCCTGCACGCCCCCCAGCGTGGCGGCGCTCAGCCCCGCCAACCGGGCCAGGAGGCCCTCCAGCCCGTCCCTCTCCACGGTCAGCGCGCCGATCTCCTCTGCCAGCTCCTTGGCCGTGGAGAAATGGTTTCCTGCGGCACCGTGTGGAGAGAAGGAGGAGAGGTAAGCTTCGAGGCATCCCCAAGCCTGAAGGACTTATTGTTTTTTAATATACTTTTATTGATTTCAGAGAGGAAGGGAGAGGGAGAGAGGGAGAAACATCAATGATGAGAGAATCATGGATCGGCTGCCTCCTGCATGCCCCCTACTAGGGATCAGGCCCAAAACCCAGGCCTGTGCCATGACCAGGAATCGAACCGTGACCTCCAGGTTCATAGGTCGATGCTCAACCACTGAGCCACGCCGGCCGGGCTGGACCCGGTTTTCAAGCAAGAGATCGAACAGTCGGGGGTGGGGAGGCACCAAGTGTCCCCCCAACTGAGCCACCAGGCAAAACACGCCCCAGCGTGCCATCGCCTCCTGGGGACGGTCCAGAGAGAAAAGGCGTCTGAACACACGTGGGAAGAGCTCACGCAGACACGAGGGCCCATACAGAGGGGCGGCTGGGCGCACGGTCCCAGGCCCACCTGCAACTCAGCGTGAACCCGAGACCCGGGCCCTCGATCAGACGTGAACGATCATTAACGGAACCCCGGGCCCCGCCTGCCGTCTGGGGAGCACGGCTGGGAAACGCATCGTGAGAGCTGTGCAAGTGTTACACGCGCACAAGGAGCCCAATTCCCCAAGAGGCCGTTCACATTGGAGCGCGAGCCCTCGGAGCACTACGCCGCCCTCCGCTATTTCAGACACGTCCTGGCCTCAGTCCCCAGCCCGAGGCCCAGCTCGCTGACGGCGGGAACGGGCCCAGAGCCCCGGGAAGGGAATCAGAGCAGTACAGACGCTGACTCCTGAAGAGAGGCTATCAGGGACCCGGTGACCCCAATCTCCGAGACTCTAATGGGCCCGCTCCTAGACGCACTCGAGGGTTGGCGTGGAGAGGAATGTCTCGCCATCGCCATCGCGCGGCACACAGGCCGGCCTCAGCAGCCAGGGGAGCGAGCACACTTGGGCATTCACATGGTGTTTTTTTTAAATATATATATATATATTTTATTGATTTTAGAGAGGAAGGCACAGGAAGAAAGACATGGAAACATCAATGATGAGAGAGAATCATGTATCGGCTGCCTCCTTCACACACACCCCCGGGGATCCAGCGCAACCTGGGCATGTGCCCTTGACCTGCATTGAACCTGGGACCCTTCAGTCTCCAAGCTGAAACTTTATCCACTGAGCTAAACCAGCTAAGTCATAGTTTAACTCTTTTAACATTAAATTAATGCACAGTTATCCCTCTGTAGAGAAAATATCCTGTGATGAAACTATGGTTATCTTCCTCAGTTATAGCAAATAAAATGGAGTGAATCGAGACTCTAATGGGCCCGCTCCTAGACGCACCCGAGGGTTGGCGTGGAGATGAATGTCTCGCCATCGCCATTGCGCGACACACACGCCGGCCTCAGCAGCCAGGGAGCGAGCACACTTGGGCATTCACGTGGTGTTTTTTTTAAATATATATATATATTTTATTGATTAACCCCCGTCCCAAGTGGGGCTCGAGCCTGCAACCTGGGCATGTGCCCTTGGCCGGAATCGAACCGGGGACCCTACAGTCCGCAGGCCAACGCTCTACCCACTGAGCCAAACCAGCCAGGGCTCACGTTGGTTTTTCTTAAAGCCCCTGTCAAGATATCCTATTCTACAAATAAAATTAAAGATCTCTAGGCCTATGCTAAAGCTGAAGCTGAGTTTAGCCACTCTGTTCTGTCTCCCTTTATCTTCAACGAGTCCAAGTTTAAATATTTCCCACCACCACCACCACCCCACACACAGATTCTTGCCCAGCTGGTGTGGCTCGGCGGTTGAGCTTCGACCTATGAACCAGGAGGTCACGGTTCGATTCCCCCGTCAGGGCACATGCCTGAGTTGCAGGCTCGATCCCTAGTAGGGGGTGTGCAGGAGGCAGCCGATCCATGATTCTCTCTCATCAATGACATTTCTATCTGAAATCAATACAAATATTTTTTTTTTTTAAAAAAAGAGGTGAGTTCCCAGCCCAATTCTTCAGGCCACCCCGATTTCCTCAGCTGATCGGAGAACAAAACAGAAAACCCCAGGCCCCAAATGCAAGACACCTTCCCACGCACGCGTTTCTCCTGGGATGCTAAAGAGAGATGATCCCCACGGCAGAGAGGGCCGGCCCCGCTGCCTGAATGACATTCCGCCTCCCCTGGGCTTCAGGGAGACACGTCCGCCTGTACCCCCGGGAAGGACGCGCTGATGGAGGCAGGCGGAGCCCCAGCTCGAAGGGAGACCGTGTTCACCCTTCCCGTGTCTCTCTCTCGGCCAGTGGGGCCATCATTCCAAGGAAATGGCTCGTGACGCCGTGAAGAGCCGAGCCGAGTCACCGCGCCCTCCTGGTTGTAAATAACCCACGTGGCCGCGCCGGGAGCCAAACTGCTCGTTAGCTGCCAGCGGTGCTTGTTTAACGATGTGAAGACAGAAGCTGCCAGCGTTTACCTTCCTTCATAAAGCCACAGAAAGCGCAGACCTGGGACGAGCGTGCCTTTTGTTAAATGTTTATGGCTCTTCTGGAGCTGATGAGGATCCAGACGTCCCACCTGGACGCCAGCCCGATCGGCCGCCTCTCGGTAACTGAGTGAACTTAACCACGGGGTATCCCCCAGGCCTCCACCACCACCCCCATCTGTTCCCCGAGGCCCCGACCTGTACCTCTCCCACCAACGTAATACAGCTGTTGTGAAACGAAATAAAACAATACGGTGGACTGTGTAAATGACAGGGTCGGAAACGCGTGCTTTCAACCTGCTAATTAATGGAGTCGTATATCCCTTAATAACTACCAGACTGAAGAGGGATCCCCTGAGAATCCCAACACCCTGTCATCTCGGAGCAGGTTTGTTAAACTAGGCGTCACCTCGTACCGTGTTATCACTCTTCCCCCCGAGAACAGGGGTGGGGAACGTCTGGCCTGCGGGCCCACAAGGCCCGAGAAATCACTTGGTCTGGCCTCCCGAGGCATCAGGGGTGAGTTCATTAAATGTCTGCAGGCTAGTTTCCAAGTTGATAATAATATATGGCTCATGAATGATGATATAAATATGCAGATGGCCCTTGGCAGGAAAAAGGTTCCCCACCCCTGCTCTATAGGAAGGGGCTGACCACACCCAATACCCCTCACTGAGCTTCTATAGGTACATGATGCCACAGGAACACTGGCTAGAACAGCGGTTCTCAACCTGTGGGTCGCGACCCCTTTGGCGGCCGAACGACCCTTTCACGGGGGTCGCCTGAGACCACCCTGCCTATCAGCTATTTACATGACGATTCATCACAGTAGTAACATTACAGTTATGAAATAGCAACAAAATAATGTTATGGTTGGGTCACCACATGAGGAACTGTATTTAAAGGGCCAGAAGGTTGAGAACCACTGGGCTAGAAGGACATTGAGCACCTGTAATCCTAAACTCTTTATTAAAAAAAAACACAGAAAGTGACCCAAACGGCGTGGCTCAGTGGCTGAGCATCGACCTATGAACTAGGAGGTCACAGTTCGATTCCCGGGCGTGTGCCCTGACCGGGGTGCGGGCTCCATCCCCAGTAGGGGGGCGTGCAGGAGGCAGCCCATCCATGATTCTCATTGCTGATGTTTCCATTTCTCTCTGCCTCTCCCTTCCTCTTTGAAATCAACAAAATAGATTTTAAAAAGATGAAAGAAAAAAAAGAAACAGGAAGTGGAAGTCCCAAATAGGGTACCCACACAGATAACTTCCTCCCAATCATGTGTGCACATGTATCTGTACGAGGCTCACCCATCCCTCATAAGGAGACCTCGCCGCCCATCTATTCGTGGGTCTTGTCACCAGTGCCCTCGGCCACCCCACTGAGCATCTACAGCCACGGAAACACCGGCCGGAATGACACAGAGCCCGGGGCGCCTTAAACTCTTAAAGAAACAATGTTTTCAGCCACCAGAGCTGGAGGTGGCCGGCTGGGCAGCGGTTACCTGACACGGCCAGCATTTTGGCCTCCAGCAACGCCGGGAGCTGGGTCTCGATCTCGTGAAGGCTCCTCCGCAGGGAGGCGCACAGCCTCTGGGTCCTGCACACCTTGTAGGGGTGGGCGGGGGGAGACACGCCTGAGTCCTCATCGGGGACAACCGAGAAGGCAGCGAAGCGCGATCTCTTTAGGGAACGGGCGTGGGGAGCCTTACCTTCGCAGCGATTTCTCTCAGGGACCAGTGCAGGGGTTTCAGCCTTTCCTGGAGGCTGGAAGAAGGAACGAAAGAGAGGACCTTGGTCTCCTGGGAGTCACCGTTCCATCCCACCCCATGCGGGACACTCGGAGACACTTGCCCCCGTCGGCCCCCTGGCTGAAGAACAGAAGGAAAGATGATGCCAACGGGGCTCCCGCTGCCCTAGCCAGTTTGGCATCGGCCTGCGGACTGAAGGGTGCCAGGTTTGATTCCGGTCAAGGGCATATGCCTAGGTTGCGGGCTCGATCCCCAGTGGGGGGGGGTGCAGGAGGCAGCCGATCAATGGTTCTCATCATGGATGTTTCTATCTCTCTCAATACGCCAGTGGGAAACGGACTGCCCCTCCCGGGTGATGCGCTGCTTAGGCCAACGTTAAACTCCACAGGGCACGTCCACTGACAGGGGCAGGAACGCCCCAGATATGCTCCTGGTGACAGAGGGTTAACATTCACGTCCCTGCAACTACCTTCCAAACTCGAAGGTCTACGCGGGACAGCAGTTCATAGGCTGGTTACCCGCTGATCTGTTTGGGGACACAGTGCCATCCCACCCACCCGTGCCGAGCGCCTGCTGTGTGTGGCAGTGGGGGGAGGGGAGGAGCACACAGGAGATGCACAAATTTAAAGTACATCTACCTATGCCCGGCCGGCGTGGCTCAGTGGGTTGAGCGTCGACTTAGGAGCCAGGAGGTCACGGTTTGATTCCCGGTCAGGGCACATGCTGGGTTGCAGGCTCCATCCCCAGTGTGGGGCGTGCGGGAGGCAGCCGATCCATGAGTCTCTCTCATCATGGATGTTTCTCTCTCTCTCTCCCTCTCCCTTCCTCTCTGAAATCATTAAAAACAGTTTTAAAAAACAGGGGTTCCCAGCCACACTCCAAGACTGATTCACGCATTCACAGGACAGATGGGCAGTGGGTCCACTTAGGACCCTGGAACGGAGCTGACCCCCAGCCCAAGCACCACCCTCCGGGCTGACTCCCCGCGTGGGTCTGGGCTCCGCTCTGGCCCTTTCCCAGAGAGAGCATCAGTCTCCTTCAGAGACACGGGCGAGAGCAGGGAGGCAGCGATGCACGTAATTGACCGCGTTGTTTTCTGTTTGATCTGATTGATATTTAATTTATGTCATTTATGCTATATTACGTCTTGCAGTAGATTTACCTGCCTAATTATGTTTTGCTCAGGCTAATGTTAACATTCGTTGCCTCCCTGGGGGAGACAGGGAATGGACGCGGCGGGGGGCGGGGGAACATGAATAATCCATGGCCCCCTGCCAGTGGCTCGCGTGCTATTTTTAGCCATAGAACTCTATTAACCAACGTTTATTAAACAATATATTCCTATTGATGTCAGAAAGGAAGGGAGAGAGAGATAGACATATCAATGATGAGAGAGAATCATGGATCGGCTGCCTCCTGCACGCCCCACACTGGGGATCAAGCCCGCAACCCCGGGCATGTACCCTGACCGGGAATCGAACCATGACCTCCTGGTTCATAGGTCGACGCTCAACCACTGAGCCCCACCGGCCAGGAAGGGGATCTGTTATGATTGAGGTCTGGCCTACGACAGATGATGTCACGTGGACCCCAAACACCCACTGCTCCTAGCGTTACCTTGTGGTCCCCAAACCACGATTCCAGGAGCAGAAATACACATTGACAACCACCCAATTAGATGAGTGAAATGTCTCTAGACACAAGCGTTATATGCACGCCGAGGATTCAAACGAATCGCTTGTACAAGCAGCGTGCTCCAGCTTGCACGCTGCTTGTGACAAATAACTCGTCTCAGATCAAATGGCACTGGGCCCTAGAAAGACATACATTGTCTCCACAAGGCAGCAGATGATGGTTTAACACGCACCCCAGACCACTGACTCGAGTGAGGATCTTCGTCGGAATACTCGTGGGAATAATCGTGCGAACATTTATTGAGCACTTCCTGTGTCCCAGGCACGCTCCTACATCCCTGACACAGATTCGCATTTTAAATTCTCGTAACTCTTTGAGACGAGAAAAGTCCGTCAAAGAGAGAGAGAAGGCCCTGGCTGGAGGCTCGGTTGGTTGGATCGTCATCTCCGGACACCAAAAAGGTTGCGGGTTCGATTCCCAGTTAGGGCACATACCTAGGTTGTGGGTTCCATCCCTAGTCGAGGCGCCTACGGGTGGCAACAGATCGATGATTCTCTCTCATCGTTGATGTTCCTCTCTCTCTGCCTCTCCCTTCCTCTCTGAAATCAATAAAAATATATTTTTTTAAAGAAAAACAAAGAACTGCAACTCCGTTTGGAAAATATCATACATGAGGGACAGCACCCACACACAGGTCCAGGTGAGCAATCCGAGATGGCAGGAAGTCACCAGTACCTCCTTACGGCTTCGGGAGGTCCTGCAGGGAGGGGACTCTGACCGGCCAGGGCCAGGGCGTCCCTCGCCGCCTGGTGGACCTCCTGCAGCTCGTCTGGGGCCAGCTTGTCCAGCAGGGGCCGCAGGTCACAGTCCCGCCACCGGAGGAGTTGCTGCTGCAGCTCCATCTCCCTTCTCAACTGCTGGTCCTTCGCTGCCAGCACAGACATCCGGGCCTGCAGGGCTTCCATCTCCTCCTGCAGGGAGAGGAGAGACGAGTTCATACATCAGCCCTGTGCGTGCTGTGGAGCTGGGTGTTCAAGTCCAAGGCTCTTTCCAGAAGCCAGGCTGCCTCTGCTCCACGTTCCCTCACTGCTCCCCACTCCTGCCTCCAGGCCCCCCACTCCTGCCTCCAGCACCCCCACTCCTGCCTCCAGGCCCCCAGGCTCTAGCAAGTGGAGATTCCACTTGAAGCGTCCTGCCTCTGGGGGGGCGTCTCACCATCCAGAGCTCCTGATCGCCTTCACCCCGCCCCCCTCCAACTTAGCTCGGTGCTACCACTAGGATCCCAGCCCCTGGGTGACCCGTCCACTGCTCAGGGCCACCCGGAGCTCCCACGTGACGCCCGCCAGTCATTCCCAGAGCGTCTGCCTCGCCCAATCCATACTTACAATCCACCTCCTAGCAACTGCTGCTCACAGTCCAACTGGACAGGAATTTCCTAAGCGATTTCTTCCCGCCTGGAAAGCCCTCTCTGAAGGTCAGGCTGATAAGAGGTGACACACGGGCCTGGCAGGCAGGGAGGTGCCCGCCAAGGTAATGCGTGCCATCGGAACAGGCCCGAGGCCGCGAGCGGCAGCCGCTAGTTTATAAGGAGGCCCCTGCGAGCCCAGCTGTCATCTCCTGCATCTCTGCCCTTTGCACTCACGGGGGACAGACAAGCACTAATGACCACCCACGCACAGAACCGCGGCGCTGCCTTTGGCCTAAATGGATAAGGAAAGTGCTTCCTATTTCTTTTTTTAAATATATATAATATTTTTTTTAAATATATTAAATATATTTTTATTGATTTCAGAGAGGAAGGGAGAGGGACAGAAACATCGATGATGAGAGAGAATCATGGATCGGCTGCCTCCTGCCCGCCCCACACTGGGGATGGAGCCCGCCACCCGGGCATGTGCCCTGACCGGGAATCGAACCGTGACCTACTGGTTCATAGGTCGATGCTCCACCCTTGAGCCACGCCGGGCAGGCCTGCTTCCTGTTTCTTGAATATTCCTCCCCTGCTTACCTGCAGTTGCTGCTTTTCGTGAAGAAGCCGGTCTCGTCTGGTGACGGATGCGCACGGGGGGTCCTCAGCTGGGGGCTCCATGCAGAGCGGGGCCTGGGTGTCCTCTCTGCCTGCCCTTAAAATAAAGCAGGCATGTGGGTACAGACACGGGGAAGCTGGGACCCTCGGGTCTACAAGAATGTTAAGAGCCGGAGATTTCACAAAGTGGCCCCCAGCTGTCTTCATCCTTAGGCGGGTCTCAGGGGTGAGCTCCCCAGTGGACGTTTCTGCGTTAATGACCATCTGTTGGGGCTTTTGGTTTCAAGAGGAGCCAGCTTGCTATTGTCGGACCTGCACCGCCCACCACCCCACCCCTTGCCTCAGGTGGTTATATGTGCTGATCCTGGAAAACACACCCGATGTGAAAGATTCAGTAAGAAAACAGAGTGCAAAATAGCTCATTGATGACACTTTGATGTTCGTTACAGGTTGGAATGAGAATATATTTTTATGCATCGAGTTGAAATAAATATGTTTTTTAAATTCACTTTTTTACACGCTTCTTTTTTTAAATGCAGCTACTAGCCCGGCTGGCATGGCTCAGTGGTTGAGCTTCGACCTAGGAACCAGGAGGTCACGGTTCAATTCTCGGTCAGGGCACATGCCCGGGCGGCGGGCTCCATCCCCAGTGTGGGGCGTGCAGGAGGCAGCCGATCCATGATTCTCTCTCATCATTAATGTTTCTATCTCTCTCTCCCTCTCCTTTCCTCTCCGAAACCAATAAAAATCTATTTTAAAAAAAATAAAAATACTTTCGACTGAAAAAAGATGGACCATTTCTGAGGCTTTACCGGAATCAGGAGAGAACAAAACCATCCTCATCTATTGAATACCACGGGAATGGATGCGCTGCCTCCTCCACCCCCCCCCAACCTCGCCCCCCGAGTCTGGCCTGTTCACACAGCCCCTTGTACTAGACTGTGAGCCTCGGGGGACAGTCCTGGGTCCCAGGGCCCAGCCCGGAGCAGGGTCTCACTCAGCAAATATCTGTTGACTGATTTCATGAGTCCAGGGTCCCAGAAAACCCAGAAGTGGCTTATAGTCGGCGCTCTGCTCCTGAGACCACTCCTCTGCACACATTATTTCCCCGTGTGCTCTGCGTGTGCAAACATGCAGCTTCCTGAATTTCCTACACAGGGCGCCATCTGCGCCGGGCTGGGAGCCATGGGAGGAAATCGGCATCTGATTGAAATGAGCAACGAGGAGCGACAGGTGGGTACCTGGGAATTCTCCGTGCTGGTTAATCACATTCATTACCTAACCCACCAGGGAAGCCCCCGCGGTTACCCACGCGCCTCCCTGCCTCTCGGCCTCCGACTGGGGCGCGGAAAGCGTCCCCAGCTGGCTGAGCGGCACCTCGGGACACACGGCAGCTCCGGAATGAAGCCGGGGACAGGTTCCCGTCCTGCAGACCTCAGTCCTCTGAGCCCCCCGCCTCTCCCTTCCACAGTGTTGTTCCCTTTGTGCTCCATAGTCTCACCGTGTAATCCCCAGTGTGGGCAGTGGCGCTGCTCTCAGCGAATCAGGATGAGAAGCAAGCCCGTCCCTGGGGCGAGAATCAAAGCAGGAGGGCGGGCCCTGGCTGGTGTTGCTCAGTGGATAGAGCACTGGCCTACGGACTGAAGAGTCCCAGGTTCGATTTCAGTCAAGGGGATGTGCCCAGGTTGCGGGCTCAATTCCCAGTGTGGGGCGTGCAGGAGGCAGCCGATCAATGGTTCTCTCTCATTGTGGATGTATCTACCTCTCTCTCCCTCTCCCTTCCTCTCTGAAATGAGTAACAATATATATTTAAAAAAATAAAGCAGGAGGCTGGGGTGTTAGCACAGCACTCGGGGTGCAGGGCACTCGGGGTGTCTTGGACCCCAGTGCAGACCTGAGGTGGCTCACAGGCCCCCATCTGGGACTGCCCACTGCTGCCAAAAAAAAAAAAAAAAAAATGCTGCCCTTTCTACTTTCATCTTTTTCCCCAATCATTTAAGGAGGAATAAAACCTGTTTGTAAAATAAGATCCCAGCCCAGCTGGTGTGGCTCAGTGGTTGAGCTTCGACCTATGAACCAGGAGGTCAGGGTTTGATTCCCAGTCGGGGCACATGCCCGGGTTTGTGGGCTCCATCCCCAGTGGGGGCCGTGCAGAAGGCAGCCGATCCATGATTCTCTCTCATCACTGATGTTTCTATCTCTCTGTCCCTCTCCCTTGCTCTCTGAAATCAATTAAAAAACCCCATGTCCAGGGCCTCTCCCTGTCGATTGGTGGAAAGGGTGTCTTAGGGGCGGGACCCACACGGGTCCCTCACTCGGGAAGGAACTGCCACCTGCCCAACCAACAAAAGGGCATTTCCGAGCAAAAGCAGCAGCAGGTCTCCCCAGCTCTCCCCTCCCAGCTCTTCACCCCCTGGCTGAGAGCGGGAGACGGGAGACGGGAGACGGGGAGAGGAGGTGGCCTCCCCAGCACTTACTGCTCAGCGGCCCGGTGCAAGGCGGCCTCGGCCTGGGCTCCCAGGTGGACCAGGAGGCTGCAGAGGGCCGGCTGCCTCGAGGGGAGCTGGTAGCACAGGCCGCTCTCTTCCTCTTCCTCCTCCTCCAGGCCGTCCAACCTGTGCTTGAACGTCTCCGCTGGAAACGCAAAACGATGAGAGGAGTGAAGATCCATGCAACTCAAAGCAGACAACCCAGGGCCTCCCAGCTCCACGCCCAGTCCACGTCCACCCTGATGACATGACCAAGGGCACAGGTTCCAGGCCAGGGTGTGCATCTCTCAGTTGGCGCTTTTAAGAATCTCCTGTCTTGCCCTGACTGGTCTGGCTCAGTGGATGGAGCGTCGGCCTGCGGACTGAAGGGTCCCGGGTTCGATTCAAGAGCATGTACCTTGGTTGCGGGCACATACCCAGTGGGGAGTGTGCAGGAGGCAGCTGATCGATGTTTCTCTCTCATCCATGTTTCTAACTCTCTATCCCTCTCCCCTCCTCTCTGTAAAAAAAACAATAAAATATATTTTAAAAAAAGAAAGAAAAAGATAACACGGATGCCTTCATCATGTGGGACCAGGAGAAAATGGAGTCCGCACCTCAACTCTGCCCCCCCGGCTGCCTGACCTTCAAGTCGCTTAACTTAACTTCCTCGGCTCCAGTTTCTTAATGTGCAGACATGGGGTGCACACGAGTATCTGCACCCTAAGGTTTGCCGAGGGTTAAGTGAGATCGTCTGGGGAAAGCGTTTGGCACCTGGCACCTGGCACGGGCCCGAAAGGATGGACTCTGGTCAGCGGGCCTTTCCTCGAGCTCACGACCAGCCTCAGACTATCCGGAAAGGCGAGAGCGACAGCGACAGCAGCAAGGTGCCACCCTTATCCTTCCTGATCCTGTTTTTCCACCCGAATCCTCTTTTTCTTTGCGTTATGTCCAAAGACACGGTCACGGCTGGCTGTGTGGATTGAATTCTGGGAGACTCCTCAGCAGGAGGCAGTGCCTGGGTGTTGCGGCCGCATGGCGGCTCTAAAGCCATTGGTTCCAGCCGCCGGGAAGGGAAGGCGCAGCTCTCAGGGGCACGGACACAGAACAGCCTTGACCGCGAAGCCCGCGGCTGTGTGCGCTGGAAAACGTGTAAAAGCAGCCCTAACGGGTGTGGCCCAGTGGATAGAGCGTCGGCCTGCGGACTGAGGGGTCCCAGGTTTGATTCTGGTCAAGGGCATGTACCTTGGTTGCGGGCACATCTCCAGTAGGGGGATGTGCAGGAGGCAGCTGATCAATGTTTCTAACTGTCTATCCCTCTTCCTTCCTCTCTGTAAAAAAATCAATAGAAAATATTTTTTAAAAAACGTGTAAAAGCAACCCAGGTTGAGCCCTAGCCGGTCTGGCTCAGTGGCTAGAGCGGCAGCCGGCCGACCAAAGGGTCCAGGGTTCGATTCCTCAGTTGCAGGCTCCTCCCCTACCAGGGGGGCGCGGGCAGGAGGCCACCGATCGATGTGTTTCTCTCACCTCGATGCTTCTCTCTGTCTTTCCCCCTCTCTTCCACACTCTTTATTTTTTTACTTATTATTTTTTAAATATTTTATTGATTTTTTACAGAGAGGAAGGGAGAGGGTTAGAGAGTTAGAAACATGGATGAGAGAGAAACATCGATCAGCTGCCTCCCGCACACCCCGCCCGACCAAGCCTGCAACACGGGCACGTGCTCTTGACCGGGAATCGCACCCACAACCTCTTGCTGCACAGAA